AGGGAGACAGAGAGAGAGAGAGAGAGAGAGAGAGAGAGATATATATACAGAGAGAGAGAGAGAGAGAGAGAGAAAAACAAAACGATCGAACGCACACACACACACACACACGCACACGCACACGCACACGCACGCGCACACGCACACGCACACGCACACGCACACGCGCACGCACACGCACACGCACGCGCACACGCACACGCACACGCACACGCACACGCACACGCACACGCACACGCACACGCACACGCACACGCACACGCACACGCACACGCACACGCACACGCACACGCACACGCACACGCACACGCACACGCACACGCACACGCACACGCACACGCACACGCACACGCACACGCACACGCACACGCACACGCACACGCACACGCACACGCACACGCACACGCACACGCACACGCACACGCACACGCACACGCACACGCACACGCACACGCACACGCACACGCACACGCACACGCACGCACACGCACACGCACACGCACACGCACACGCACGCGCACGCGCACGCGCACGCACGCGCGCGCGCACACGCGCACGCGCACGCGCACGCGCACGTCCACGGGCGCACGAGCGCACGCACACGCGCACGCGCACGGGCGCGCGCGCACGCTCACGCTCACGCGCACGCGGACGCGCAGGCGCACGCGCGGTCGCACGCGCACGGGCGCACGCGCACGCGCACGCGCACGCGCACGCGCCACGCGCCACGCGCCACGCACGCGCACACGCACTGCGCGACGCGCACACGCTGCGCAACGCGCGCACGCGCGCACGCGCGCACGCGCGCATCCGGCGCACGCGCTCACGCGCGCACGCGCGCACGCGCGCACGCGCGCACGCGCGCACGCGCGCACCGGCGCGCACGCGCGCACGCGCGCACGCACGCACGCACGCACGCACGCACGCACGCAGGCAAGCAGCACACGCAGCACACGCAGCACACGCAGCACGCAGCACACGCAGCACACGCAGCACACGCAGCACACGCAGCACACGCAGCACACGCAGCACACGCAGCACACGCAGCACACGCAGCACACGCAGCACACGCAGCACACGCAGCACACGCAGCACACGCAGCACACGCAGCACACGCACACGCACACGCACACGCACACGCACACGCACACGCACACGCACACGCACACGCACACGCACACCACACCACACCACACCACACCACACCACACCACACCACACCACACCACACCACACCACACCACACCACACCACACCACACCACACCACACACACACACACACACACTGTGGGACAAAAAAACACCGTATGTTTGTGTTTTTTTCCCACCGTGTGTTTTGTTTGTTTCCTCGCACCGCGGGAGCTCTTCGCGCCGTCGCCCTCGCTCTCGCCTGTGCTCTGCGTGCGCCGCCCGGTCCGAACCGCGCTGCCCCCCGCGGGATCTCTCCGCGGCGCGGGCACCCCTCGCGGGTGTGCTTCGTGTGCCCCGCTGTGGCCGGCTCGCTCCGGGGGGCCACCGGAGGGGCTCCCAGAGCCCCGACGCTGTGATTTTTTCCGCCACCTCTCTCCTCTCCCTCCTCCCTCCTCTCCCTCATCCCTCCTCTCCCTCATCCCTCCTTCCCTGCCTCCTCCCCTGCCTCCTCTCCCTCATCCCTCCTCTCCCTCCTGCCTCCTCTCCCTCCCCCCTCCTCTCCCCCCTCCTCTCCCGCGTCCTGCCTCTGCCTCCTCCCTCCTCTTCCTCCTCGGGTCCGGACGCCCTCCCGGGAACCGGTTTGTCGTCCCGAGTCGTTTGTTGACGCTCCCAGGGAGGCCGAAGATAGCGAAGAGCCTCCTGTCCCGGTTTCTTCGCAGCGCGAGGGGGTCTGGGATGGCAAGAGTGCTCGTGAGCTTGGGAGCGGCCTTGGTCTCTAGGACGTCTTGAGGCCGCACTGTGGAGGAGGCGAGGGTCTGTGGGCGCGCTATCAAGCTCCTCCTCCTCATTCTCCTCCTCCTCCCCCTCCTCCCCCTCCTCCCCCTCCTCCCCCTCCTTCTCCTCCTCCTCCTCCTGTGCGGGAGCTGGCCCTACTCGGGCGCTGTCCTGGCGCTCCCAGTGCACGTGTTCACGCGTTTTAACTCGCAGCCGGTGCTGCCAACAGCTTGTGCTGGCAGCTCCGCCTGCCTTCTTGAGTGGACAAGTGGACAACGGCGGCCCCGAAAGAGTCATTGGCCGACTCTGGGCCTCCCATTCTTCTATGTGGAAGCGAGGGCCGAACGAGCAGTACACCTGGATCTCAGATCCCGATCTTCTTCCCCTTGTGGTGCCTGCATGCACCGGGCAGGCTGTGCGCAGCTCGGAGCGAGCGAATAGCCGCTGGTCTTCGTCGGCGTCAGCCTACAGGACCGCCCGCCCGAGCCCACAGCAAAAGGAGCGCGGAGGGGCAGCCGAAGTGGTCAGCGATGGTCAGTATCGCTCAATCGAGCCCGAGCCCCATCCCCATCCCCATCCCCACTCTGATCCCCACCATCCCACCACCCCCATCCCTATCCCCATCCCCATCCCCATCTCCATTCCCATCCCCATTCCCAATCCATCCCCACCCCCATCCCCATCCCTATCCCCACCCTGATCCCCATCGCCATCTCCACCCTGATCCCCAGCCCAATCCCCATCCCCACCCTGATCCCCACCATCACACCACACCAGTTGGGGACATGCCCCTCGCAGCCCGAAAGAAACAGTCTACATCCCCATCTTGTGTGTGTACGTTCCGATCCTCACCATCCCACCACGCCAGTTGGGGACATGCCCCTCGCAGCCCGAAAGGCACAGCCTACATCCCCATGTTGTGTGTGTGTGTGTGTGTCTGTGTTTGTGTGTGTGTGTGTGTGTGTGTGTGTGTGTGTGTGTGTGTGCGTCTCTCCCTCTTGCACGCTGGACAATTTGCCCATCGGTTGCCCCGAGTAGCCCCACGCTGGTGCGAGCTGCCTCTGTCTCGCCGCCGACGCACTCGCGCAGAGACCGCTCATCCGAGGGTTCACCTGGAGGCCTGCCAATCCAGTTCAGCCGCCCCCCCAGGCGCCCCCCACTGAAAGCGACCCAGACGAGCCCATCGGCATTGGGACACACGGCTTCCGCAACGCCCAACATGGAGCCCAACCAGGGGACTGTATCAGGGTCTTCTTGGTCCATAAGAAAGCTGCCGAGCTGCCACCTTCCCTCGTGGAAGGCACAGCCAACCTGAGGGAAGCGGATACCGTCTGCGACATCGTCAAGTTCGTGGAGGAGCACCTCCTAAGGACAGGCAAGCGTGTCCTGGTTGTTTGCGGGTACCGTGCGCAGGTGGCCTTCATCAAAGCAGGCTGGCCGATCGACCGCGGCGCCTTCTTCAGCGCCTGCCAGGAGAAGGGCACTGGTAAGGGTAAGGTCGCCGGGCAGGGCACACTGACGCAGTCCAGAGCCTCACTCCTCAAGGGCGCCCTAGGAAATGTGCTTCAAAAGGCAGCTTCCCCCCCGGGCACTGGTGATGATGACGATGACGATGATGTTGTTGATGATTATGATGATGACGATGATGCTGATGCTGATGCTGATGACGACGATGGTGCTGACGATGATGGAGACGGCGATGGAGATGGACATGCTGATGCCGACGACGATGATGATGCTGATGTTGATGATGATGATGCTGATGCTGCTGATTCTGATGACGGTGATGATGATGACGACGATCGTGATGATGCTGACGATGCTGATGACGATGAGGATGGAGGTAAGGAGGCGGGGCATGAGGAGGAAGAGGAGGAGGAGGAGGAGGAGGAGGAGGAGGAGGAGGAGGAGGAGGAGGAGGAGGAGGAATAATAGTGCTGATGTCTATGACGAGGAGGAGGGGGGGAGGGAGGAGGAGGAGGAGGAGGAGGCGGAAGAGGAGGAAGAGGAGGAGGGGCCGAACCAGGGGTAACAATAATAGGCTATGGATGATGATCAGGAGGAGTCTGACACAGTGGTCTGAGGAAAAGGATGAGGAGGAGAAGGACCCTGAGGAGACAGAACGGAGAGAAGCAGGATGAAGATCATAATGAAGATCATGGTGAAGGTGATCGTTATGTGGATGCTGGCGATGACGATGACGATGACGATGACGATGCTGATGATGCCGATGCTGATGATGATGCTGATGATGACGATGATGCTGGTGATGACGACGATGATGATGATGATGCTGATGTTGATGTTGCTGATGAGGATGATTCTGTGATGACGATGACGATGACGACGTCGATGACGATGACGATGGCGATGCTGATGCTGATGACCATGCTGATGCTGATGATGCTGATGCTGCTGATGATGATGAGGATGCGGAGGAGGGTGATGCTGCTGATGATGCTGATGACGATGCTGCTGATGATGATGATGCGGTTGCTGAGGATTAAGAGGATGGTGATGATGATGAGGAGGATGAGGATGCGGATGCTGCTCATGATGCTGATGATGCTAATGACGATGATCATGCTGATGATGATGCTGATGCTGATGATTATGATGCTGGTGATGGTGCTGCTGCTGATGATGCTGATGCTGATGCTGATGCTGATGATGCTGATGATGCTGATGGTGATGCTGACGATAATGATGACGATGTTTATGCTGATGATGATGCGTATGATGCTGCTGGTGATGATGCTGATGATGATGGTGATGATGATGCTGATGAGGATGATGGTGATGATGACGATGATGTTGATGCTGCGAATGATGCAGATGCTGATGTTGATGCTGCTGCTGATGATGATTATGATGATACTGCTGCTGATGATGCTGATGCTGATGTGGATGATGCTGCTGCTGCTGATGATGATGCCGATGCTGATGCTGCTGATGATGATGATGCTGCTGCTGCTGATGATGATGATGATGATGATGATGATGATGATGATGATGATGATGATGATGACGACGATGACGATGACGAGGATGATGATGAGCGGCGTCGCCGTCGCCATCGCCGTCGCTGGGGCGGAGGCGGCGCCGCCGAGCTGCTCAGAGCCCCGCTCCTGGACGGGCTGGACGCGCTCGCAGGAGCGGCGGCCTCCCCCCCCCCCCTCTGCATGCGGCGGCGGCGTAGGCAGCAGTTTGCCGCGGCGTCGTCGGCGGCGAGCGGCGGCTGCGGGGCGGTGGCGGCTGCGGCGGCGGCTGCGGCGGCGGCAACGGAGGCTGCGGCGGCGGCATCGGCGGCTGCGGGGCGGCGGGGGCGGCGGCGGCGGCGGTGGCGACGGCGGCGGCGGCGGCACAGCGGCAGCTGCTCCTTCTGACGGGGGGTAAGGAGGAGGGAGGGAGGGAGGCGGGGGGGATGGATGGATGGATGGGGGCGAAGTTGGATGTTCAGACACATGGCCCCAATACTAGTCGACCCATCACTCGTGAATGGGAGACAGGAAAGAGAAGGAACAACAGCATCATGATGCCATGACGGAGGAGCACCAGGAGGATGGGGAACGAGAGGATAGAAGAGGGGCAGGAGGAAAGGACCCCGCTGTCCCTCTCCCTCCCTCCCTCTTGCGACCACTCCTGCCCCGCGGCCGTCCAACCGTGTCCGACCCCCGAGCGTCCCTGGACAAGCTGAGCAACGGCATGGGGGAGCACCTGCAGAAGAACGTGCGGAAGCTGAGGGCGTCCAAGGCCGACGCCTCGGAGAGCAGGACTTGCGCTCTTCGGGGGGAGATAGGGGGCAGGGTGAAGAGCGCAGGGAGGGGGAGAATCACGCGGGAGAAGAATGATCAATGGTCTCACCGCTCTTGGATGGATGGACAAGGCAGGAGCTGGAAGAGGAAGGGCAGGAGAAGTTGGAAGAGGAAACGCACGGATGGTTTGGATGCAGTGGCCGTTTTCGGGGCCTTCAGCCTCTTGCAGGCGTCAGCAGGCCTCCGGAGACGCCCCAGGGAGCTGTCCCGAGACCCCATAGAGACTTCCAGGGACTTCTGGGGAAGGGGAGGCGCAGGAGGAGGAGGCGGAGGAGGTGGAGGAGGATGAGGAGAAATGAGGAGGAATGAAGACGAGGACGAGGACTAGGATGAGGATGTTGTTGTTGATGCGGATGTAGGAAGGCAGGATGAGGGGGAATGCGGGGGAGGAGGAGGAGGAGCAAGAGGAAGAGGTGGGTGAGGAGGCGGAGGAGGAGGAGGAGGAGGACCAGTGTAAACCCAAGACGCTTCAACGACGTTGGAATCACCCTTCCCTCCAAGTTTCATGTTCACAGGTTCCTGCAATAATTCGTTTTTCACTGCGGGGAGATATCCGTTTGAGAACTGTTTGAGGATCCCCAGTCGTGCCCAAACGCAGTCCGTGGGACTTGCAAAGCCGCGAATCAACATGACTGTCGCGTCTTGACAATCCTCAATCGTTCCTGGGACTTCACCGTCCATACGAGTCCGTGAAACTGCTGCGAACTTTTAAAACGCACGTTCCCGGCGCTGAGGCGAGAGTCGCATTTTGAAAACGGGCGTCCTCCCTCCTTGAAATTGGTTGGCACTCTTATGACGAATGTACGCGGCGCTAAAGCCCAGCGAGAGCCACATTTTGAAAACCAGCCGCCCCTCCATCTCCGAAGCTGTTCCAAATGCCAAGCTTCATGATCATGGGTGATAAGGAAGTCTCAGGCGAAACGTTCAGCCAGCCCTGCACGTAGTGGATGGGACAGGGAGGAGTTGCTCATAAGAAAAACGAATGGAGGAGTAGGAGGGGGAGGCGGAGGATGACCCTGACCTTCTCGCGCTGTGAGAAAATGGCGACGGAATGCTTCTGACATTTTTCGGCTTCCCAGGGGCCTCTTGCTGGTTCACATCATAAAACGGCGTAGGATCAAAGTCGGGTGCCTGGGACGAGATCCAGACCTCTGGTGAGTCACGCTGCGAAGTAAACCGCGACGTCGTAGGTCTGGGGGCGGAGATCGCCCAAGCCATACCCCTCTCTCCCGTCTTCACCGTGCCTCCGTTCGTCTGGTCTTGTCTTGCTCATCATCTTCCCCTTCTTTTTCTCTTCCGTGCTGCCTCCTTTCCTTCCCGGCTCATTCCACCGTCTGTTTTTCCCGTCGTCCTCATCCTTTTCATTCTCCTCCTCCTTCGCCTCCGCCCCCACCTCCTTTGCCTCATTCGCGTCTGCGTCTGCCTCTTCCTCATCCGCATCGGCCTTCTGCTCGTTTGTGTGTTTCGAAAGCGTGTTGTACAATCCGTTGTGCTAACAACTCTGGCCCACATGTTGGTCGTTCTGCATCCTGTATTCAGTATTCCGCCTCAAGGTCAATACGCTCATCTATGATTCTTGTATGTCCTCCCTTTTTTGTCTCTCTCTCTCTCTCTTTCTCGTGCTCTCTCTGATCCACCTCGTTCTCCCTCCCTCCTCTCCCTCCTTCCATCAGAATCCCACTCCCTTGCCAACTTTGTGCTGTGGGCTTTTCAGCGCTCACGTCGGAGCATCCCTGCCATTATGCATGGCGATGGCTGGCCAACAGCGCGTGGAGCCACGTGGAGGAAAGGTCCATTACGCCAGGGCCTGAGTGCCGTGGGAAATGTGTTCACGACCGTTCACATTGCCAGCACATTGATTTCTAGTTTGGGAAGGGAACTAAGCACTACCGGGTCTTCACACGGGGACCAATCAATATCATAGGTGGTGTGGACGCGCAGTTCTTGCCGAAGTCACAGTCACACCGCAGAGCAACGTGTCGATTCGCATCGTGAGCAGAGCTGGTCTATACTGAGAGTCTACGGCCCACGCGCTACCATAAGCAGCCCGAGTATTTGCGTGGGTGGGCCGGCACCTCCACGCTGGCTCGAGTTTGGCCGAATCCGAAGTTATCAAATGTTGGCGAACAGGTGCCTCTAGAAGCGAACCGGCAGCATGTAGCACACGCCTGGTCTACATACGGGTCTCCTTCCCCCTACCTCTTACATTTCAAACTCCTGCTCCAGCTTTGCCCACACCTCCCCTTCCGTCTCCGCACTCACCGCCGTCTCCATCCGCACCGCAGTGCCCGTCTTCAGCACTGCCTGCCTGCCTGCCTGCCTGCCTGCCTGCCTGTGAGGCGGTCTGTCGGTCTGTCGGTCGGTCGGCCCATCCGTCCGTCGTTCCGTCTGTCCGCTCCTCCGTCCCTCTCTTTCCCTCGCTCTCCTTCATACTCTCTCTCTCTCTCTGTCTTTCTCTCCCCTTCGCCCGTCACGCGCAATGCCCAGCCCCGACGTGCTCTGGGCTTCACGTGGGCCCCGGGAGGTCTGGACCCTGGCCCCTGAGCTACCTATTGCCGGCGCCTGGGGCCAGGCAGGGGTCCCCAGAGTCCGACCATAGGAAGCACCTCCCGTCGTGCTGTCAATCGTTGCGACGATCGCGACGGGAGGTGTTTGAGGTTCGATGTTCGAGGTCTTCGGGCGATTCCGTCCGTGACAGTCTGTTTTCGGACCTCGGGGCACGTTCCAACAGCTGCGCCTCGCCGAGGGCGAGGGCGTTCTGATGGTGCCCAGATCGTCACGAACGGCCGCCGGAGACCTGAGGTATCACCCGAAAATTGGTGGCGAGCGAGGGGGGAAGTGAGAAGGAGAGGGCCTTCTCAGAAGGCGGCGGGGCTTCTCACATGCCCTCGCGCCTTCTCAGATGTTTTCTGTGTCTTCGGGGGAGGCCTCAGAAAGCAACTTCTCGGAAGGCCAGGGGGCTTCCAAGCATTCTGATAAGGCCCGCCCCTTCTCATTTCCCCCCTGGGCTCGCCGCCGAGCTTTTTTCATGACGCGAAGAGGTTTGCTTCAAACTTTGGGCCGTAGGTTGGGTCTGCGGCGGCATTTCAGGACGATCTGGACACTTGTGGAGCGCCCTCGGCGAGGCGCAGCTGCTGTAGAGCATCCCGAGGCTGAAAAACCCTCCTCGATGCGAGGAGGGCAAGGGTCGGTTCAAGGGAGGTTACTCTATTTCAAGATCCCTTAGAAGTCGGGGGGTCTGATTCACTCAGTGCTTTCGATCTACCTGCACTGCGTGCTGCCCACGGCCAAGCCGTTTGTGAGCTGACCCCGGGCTGGAATCGGCGGTTACGTCGTCGAGGGCCGCGTTTGACTGACAGTAGTCTCTAATGCGGGATGACGATTAATAAACAAAATGGGGGGGAACGATTAAACAAATAGTTTCCTGCTATTTCTGCACAAGTTTCTGACTGGAGGAGAACGATTACAAACATAGTTTTCCAGCCCGCGGCCGGTTTTTTCAAATCGTCATCCCGGGCGCCGCCGCGTGAACACGACCCCCGGTCATTTATTAATCGTCATTTTCCATTACGAAGATCGCCTCGTTCCTTTCCCAGCATTCCACTGTCACCCCGCCGGGGCAGCCTCCGCCCCTTGGCGTGGGCGACACGACCAGGCGCCTGCTGAGCGGCCCCAGCGGGACGCCTCTGGCAGCCTCGGGAGGCGGGAGGCCTCTCGGGAGGCCCCCGGGCACGAGTGCCAAAGCCAAGAGGTCCTGAGTCCTCGATCCCTCCTGGAGGATCGACCCTCGACCCCCAGATTCCCTCGAGCCATGAACAAAATCACGACGGGAGGTTTCTTTCTATTTTCAGCGTCCGGGGGCCCTCACTGGGCTCTGGGGCCGTCATTCATTAACCCACTCAGGATGAAACACTGGTCCCGGGGAAGGGGTGCAGACCTCTGGGTGTCGACGTTGTGAACAAATCACGACGTCGGGGGTCTGGGTCCTCAGCTCCCCTCGATCCTCGGTCCTCGTCCTCCTTGATCCTCGCTCTTCCGCTCTTCTCGATGCTCGATCCCCCCAGAGGAGGAGGGGCAGGGTGCTCTGAGCGCCAAGGCGCGCCGGAGCCTCCGAGGCTCCTCTGGGGAAACCTCCCTCCGACGGGCCTCCGGGGGCTTCTTGGAGCGCTCGGGGGGGGGGCCTCGGGGAGGGGCCTCGGGGGAGCCTCGGGGGGGGCCTCCGTCGGGGCGCCTCCGTCGGCCTCCGTCGGAGGCCTCCACGGAGGCCTCCATGCAGGGGCCCCCAGCAGAGCGGCTCCGGGGGGGCCTCCGGCGCGCGCGCGGGCCACCGCGCGGGGGGAGGGGGGTGAGCCGAGCGCGCGCGCGCGGGCAGCTACGGGGCGTGGCTGCTGAGCGAGGCGCCCGTGCACGAGGCGACGAAGTTCCGGGGCTACGTGGACGACTCGGCGCCGCGGGCGCCGCTGGAAGCCTCGCCGCGTGGCCTTCCGCCTCCAGCCCCGGGGATGATTCCCCAGGCTCCCTCGCGTTGTGAACAAAAACGCGACGGGAAGTTTTTCTATATTTTTGGCCTCCAGGGGCCCTTCCCGGGCCACAGGACCGCCAAGATTTGACTCAGGACGAGAAACTGGTCCTGCGGAAGGGGTCCGTACCTTTGGGGTCGACGTTGTGAAAAGATCACGACGTCGGGGGTCCGGGGATTCGGGGGGAGGGGCTGGAAGTGACCTGGGTCTTCGCTGCTTTCCCTGGAGTTCTTGGCCCATTCGTCCCCTCGCGGTGCCGCGTGCCGTGCCTGGGACTTCGCCGGAGTTTTTTTTTTTTTTTTTTGTTGCCGACCCCGCAGGGCGCGGTCCTGCTGCAGGAGGCAGGCCGCGCCGATCACGCGACGCACATCGGCCCGACGGCGCGTCGAAGAAAAAGGTGGGCCGGGGGGGATGGGAGTGTGCGTGCGCTCGGGCCGTCGGCGCGAGCACTCTCGCTCCTCCTCCTCCTCCTCCTCCTCCTGTTCCTCCTCCTCCTGTTCCTCCTCCTCCTCCTCCTCCTCCTCCACCATTTCCAGTCTTCTCATCTGGGGGGCGTCGGAGGGGGTCGGGGGTCGGCTGGGCACCCCACCTCGCCAAGGTGATCGGCGAGTCGTTTCTGTTCGTCTCTCGGGGGGGCGCTGCGGCCCCCTGCGCCCGCCAGTTCTGGGCCTGGGGCTCGGTCCACCCCCGAGAGGGTGAGGGACCCCGATCGTCCAGGAGGGCAAGAAAACAGCACCAGGGCCTCGGCATCCAAATTCCTGTCGAGGCTTTCGGCAGTCCAGATGGGTTTGAGGTCTGGAGGGCTCTTCTTTGGCACTCTGGAGGGTCAGGGGAGGGGTAGGGGTATCTGCGGTGTGGGTGCCGCTCCCCAGGGCCACGAGGCCTCCCGGGATCCATGCCTCCCTGGCCTTCTTTCAATGCCTCCTCCCCTGCAGCCCCCCTCCCTCGTCCGCGCACACGCCCCGTACAGTCAAGACACTGAAATTTGGGACAGTTTGGGTTCGGAAGGGGCTCGATCCTCCTGGGGCACGGAGGCGTTTACAGGGCCAAGAAGGGTCTTCGTTGCTTATTCAGCGTTCCTTCTTTCAGCGGCCCGACTGTACCGTGGTGCCCCTCTTCCCGCTCCTGGCCCCCTCCTCCCCGGAACTCCGATGCCGTGCTTTTATTTTACAGCGGGGCCCCTCGGAGATCTGAGCCCGTTCCAAAGGGACTGCTTCTTCATCCAGAGCTGTTTTCTTGTTGTGGCGGGGCCCCCCGAGGCCGAAACTGGCTACAGACCTCCCGCCGTGATCTTTCCACAGCGAGAGGACCCTCAGATCTGACGATGCGAGAAAATCGCAACATCGTGGACAATCACCACCAGAGTCCCGGACCCCGTCCTTCTGCGTCATTCCGAGCCGGATCGATCCGTGAGGGTCCCTGGGCGCGAAACTGGCCGAAAACGCCGGGTGTGCCAAGATTGCAACGCCAGGATCTCAGGGGAGGTAGGGGTCTTGGGCGCCCTCTGAGCCCAGGCCTGGATGGCGAACCTTTGGGCCTACCGCACGCTCGACTTCTTCGTTGAGCTCTTCGGGCTCGTCGCCCAGGGCCGCGACACGCGGGAGGCCTGCGCAACGGGGGGGGGGAAGGAGAGCTGCCTTGCCTCCCCTGCTGCCTCCCCTCTTCGGGGAGGGGGGAGGAAGGGCGGCAGAAGAGAGAGAGAGAGAGAGAGAGACAGAGAGAAAAAAAGAGATAACAAATAATGAAAGAGGTAAAGTGAGAAAGAGAGAGAGAGAGAGAGAGAGAGGGAGGGAGAGAGAGAGAGTGAACTCGAGAGAGAGAGAGAGGGAGAGAGGGAGAGTGAGAGAATGAGAGAGAGAGAGAGAGAGAGAGAACACAAACCCCAGACCGACGACCTGCACCTGCACCAGCCCGACGACCGCTGACACGGCCAACACCACCACGGCGACAACCACGACGACCACCACCACGACCACTGCGACCACGGCGACCGGCACGACCACTGCCACCGCCAGCCCGATGCACGGTCGCCACCGCGACCACTGCCTTGACCACGGTGGTCACCAGCACGACCACTTCGACTGCGGCGACCGCGACGCCCTCCGTCACGACCGCCAGCGCGCCCGCACCACGACCGCTGCGACGCCTGCCACCACGTCTGCCGCCTGCCCACCGCCACGACCCCTCCCCCCCCCTCCCCTTTTCCCCCTCCCTTTCCCCTGCCGGGCCGCCCCAGTCACAGCGCGTGCCTCGCGCTTCACCCCCTCAGGAGGTCGCCCTTACCTCCTGGAGGTCGCCGGGCCGGCTGAGGACAGGATGGGTCCGTCTCGCCCCCTGCTGCTGCCTGCTGGCCCGCCTCTGTCCTCTCCTCCGCTCATGAAAGAGGGAGAGACGTACACACATACACAGGTATTTATTTTTGCATTCGTGTATGTACGTATGTCTGCACGTATTTATGCATGCGTGCATGCATGCATGTCTGTATGTATGTATGTATGTATGTATGTATGTATGTATACGTACATTTTTAGACACACGTATATATACACACATATATATATACGCATACATACATGCATGCGTATTCGCATGCACGTATGGCTATTTATTTGCTTGCATGTATACATGTACGTATGTATGTATGCAGGTTTGTAGACTTTCTGCATCGACGTATGCATGTATGTGTGCATACATGCATGCATCGTTGTATGTATTCCCGTATTGATGTATGCATGCATGAATGTACGCATGCATGCATGCACACATGCAGGTCTGTATGAATGTATGCATGCACGTATACATGTATAGGTATGTATGTGTGTAGGTATGTATGCCTGTATGCATGTATGCATGTATGTATGTATGCATGCATCTGTGTATGTCTGTCTGTCTGTCTGTCTGTCTGTCTGTCTGTCTGTCTGTCTGTCTGTCTGTCTGTCTGTCTGTCTGTCTGTATGGATGGATGGATGGATGGATGGATGGATGGATGTATGTATGTATGTATGTATGTATGTATGTATGTGTGTGTGTGTGCATGCACGTATGTATGTATGCATCTACGCACGTCTGCATGTGGGTATGCATGTTTGTATGTGTCGATGTAAGTATGCCTGCATGTAAGTGTGCATACTTGCATGTGTGTTTTTGAATGTAGATTCGTATACATGTATGCAGGTATGCATTTATGTACGTATACGTATGTATATGTATGTATGCATGCATGCATGCATGTATGTATGTCTCTGTATGTATGAATGTGTGTATGCATGTCTGTTTATTGTAGTGGCCTCCGGCCAGTGCCGCCGATCCGGGGGGCTCCGGATTCGGTGATCTTCGCGATTTTGTGGCCTCCTCCCTCCTCGATTCTTCCGGTCCTCTTTCTTCTCCCTGGTTCTCGTTATCCTCTGCCTCCCGCTGACCCTTTTGCGTCGCGTGCTCGCTCCCCTCTCAGTCCTCGCTCGTCCTCGTTCCCGCGGGGTGTGTGCCTGGGGAGGTCCCGGGGGGAGTCCGGGGAAGGTTCCGAGGGGGGTGTCCTTGGGGCGGTAGCGGCTGGATCTGAGGGGGGTCCCTGGGACCCCCCGAAAAATCTTGGGGATGCGCAAATCATTAAGAAAACGCAAGATGGGGGACCGCGACCCCCCACCCCTCCCCCCTCTTTCCCGCGACCCCCGAAACACTTTGGGGATGCGCAAATTATTAAGAAAACGCCAGATGGGGGACCGCCCCCTCCCTCCCCCCTTCCCGGGCAGAGCCGCCCCGGCGACCCCCCCCAAGCAGAGCTGAAGCTCTTGCTTCGGCTCAGAGCTGAAGCTCTTGCTGAGGTTCCTTGTAATTCACACGCCGGATCGGTGGGTATATAGTTATGCTTGCATATATACATATGTATGTATGCACGCACCTGTTCAGGTGTGTGTGTGTGTATACATGTATGCATGTATGTACGTATTTATATATACACATGTATGTATATGTATGCTTGCATGCATGCAATCCTGTATGTATGCATGCATGCATGCATGCATGCATGCATGCATGTATGCATGTATGCATGTATGCATGCATGCATGTGGGTAGGTATGTATGTGTATGCATGCATGCATGTATGTATGCATGCATGTATAGATGCATGCATGTATGTATGTATGCATGTATGCATGTGTGCATGCATGCTTGCATGTATGGATGCATGTATGTATGTATGTATGCATGTATGTATGTATGTTTGCATGTCGATAGGTAGGTAGGTGGGTAGGTCGGAAGGTATGTATGTATGTGTGTGTATGCAGGTATGTATGGAATGTCATGCAATGTAATAAAATGTAATATAAAGTATGTATGGATGTACGTATGCATGCATGCATACATGCACACATGTATGTGTGTGTATGCATGTATGTATGCATGTATGTATGTATGCATGTATGTATGTATGTATGTATGCATGCATGCATGCATGCATGCATGCATGCATGCATGCATGTGTGTGTATGTATGTATGTATGTATGTATGCACACAGGCATGTATGTATGCAGGCATGCATGCATGTATGCATGCATACATGTAGGAATATACATGTGTATATTTGTATTTATACATATATATCTATATATATATATATATATATATATATATGTGCAGGCGTGTATGCATGTATGCATGTCTGACTGTATGCATGCATGTATGTATGTCTGTCTGCCCGAGGGAGGTTTGGATGTACGGATGGGGGATGGACAGGCGGGGTGGTTGGAGGGAGGGAGGGACGAGGAAGGAGGCGGGAGGATGAAAGGGTTCCAGTAGAAGGAAGGAGGGGGAGTAAGAGGACGAGGAGGTGGAGGAAGAGGATGATGAGGAGAAGAAGGAGGAGGAGGAGAAGGAGGAGGAGGAGGGGAGGGAGGATGAGGAGAGGGAGAGGAGAGAGGAGAGGAGGAGGAGGAGGAGGAGGAGGAGGATGAGATGAGGAGGAGGAGGAGGAGGAGGAAGGGAGGAGGAGGAGGAGGAGGAGGAGGAGGAGGAGGAGGAGGAGCAGGAGGAGGAGGAGGAGGAGGAGACGGGGAGGAAAAGAGGAGGAGGGGTGCGAGGGGACTGCGGACAGGCAGGAGGCGGAGGGGGGCGATGAGGACGAGGTGCCTGTTTTGGGTTGTGGGGAGGCTAACGAGAAGGGTTCGGCATAGGCGAGTGAGCAGAGATAGGGGGAGGAGGATACGCGACATGACAATCAAGTCACCCAGGTCGAACGAGCAACACAGTTCTCCAGGTCGAACGAGCCAGCGGCCCCGCCCATATCCACCTCCCTCCCGTATCAATGGTGACACACATTGACACGGGGATTGGAACGTTCTCCCACCTAGCGAGCGCAAGGCGCTCGCGCACGGGTTCCTGTGTCCGACGACTTGGCAAGGAGCGAAGCACGTGGGCCGTGCACTGGCGGGAGCGGGGCGTGATACAATCCATGTGCGGCCCTGCGGCGTAAACACCATGTGGCCCTCTCTCGGACGGCCGCCCACATTCCAATGCGCGCTGCCAGGGCGACGAATGGGCCGCTCCGAAGCAGCGCTGTCGCTGTCACGCAGGCTGCGCGGCGCTTTGGCGATGGCACCATGTCGCCCGCGTTCGCGCGGCCCCGCCGCCCCAGTCGGTCTCGCACGCGGCGCTCACGCGGGAACGCCACCATCACTCCGCGTAGTCTGCACGGGGCTTACGCGCGGACGACAGGTCGCTCCCTCGCGCGCCGTCCCGCCCACAGCGGCTTGGCGGGTTGAGTATATGCGTCGCGCTGAGGCGGTAGCGTCACTTTACAGTCAACCCGCATATTAAGGATGAACAGCTTTCCAGGGCTACCCTTGCATCCTTCCCCTTCGGCCCATCCTCGGCCAACTTCGCTGCCCGCGCCCTGCTCGCAAAGTGTCGACGTGGCCTCCCGAAGCCCCGGCGTCCTGATCGTGCGCCCTTCTCGTGCGGGCCGGCAGTCGGGCGAATCCTGGGCGGCGCCGGTGCGACAGCGGCGCCTTCGCCGGCCTGCGCGTCGACCAGCCGGGAAGCGAGGGCGGGCCGCCGCGCCGGGGCTGGGACGGGAGCGCGGCGCAGGGTCGAGAGCGACAGCTCGCCCGTGCGCGCGGGAGGTGCGCCCCGTCCCATTCTTGCCCTGCGGCCTTGCAGCGTCGGCGGCAGCACGTCGACGAGCCACAGCGTCGACTTGGTATTCGGTCGGGACGGGCGGGGCGCAGCGTCCCAGCCGGGGCGGCCGTCTGCTGGCCAGGTGGCTTGGGCAGAGCAGACACGGAGAACGGATTCGGGTGCGGAGGGATCGCTGGATCATGCCCCGACGATGGAAGGACGGTGCTGCAGGAGCAGGAGGGCCGAGGCGATACGAGGAGGAGGAGGAGTGCCGCACGGAGGCGACCGATGCCGCGTACGCGCAGACCCTGAGCAAGCACCACAACATGCTGGAGCGGATGGCCTTCAGCGCGGGCGCCAGGCGGTGGCAGCTGCTCTCTGGCTGGCCACGCGTTCGCTCGCTCGATCCAGGAACGCAGGAGGAGGAGGAGGGGGGGAGGCCAGGAGGAGGCGGAGGGGGAGGAGGGGGAGGAGGAGGAGGAGGAAGAGGAGGAGGAGGCGGAGGAGGAGGAGGAGGAAGAGGAGGAGGAGGAGGGGGAGGAGGAGGAGGAGGAGGAGGAGGAGGAGGAGGAGGAGGAGGGGGAGGAGGAGGAGGAGATGGTTGGAGGTGGCGCTGCGCGGCCTCGATCGGCTGAAGGCGCGAGCCGCGCGTGTCTCCTGCGCTGCCTCCTCCGCGCCTGGCCGTCCTCCCCTGCTCCCTCCTCCCTCTTGCCGCTGCTCCTTTTTCCTCCTCCTCCTGCCCCTCCCTCTCCCTTGCATTGCTCCTCCCTTACCTTCCCCCCCACCGCCCTCCTCCCCCCCTCTGCTCCACCCCTCTGCCCCCCCCCCACCTCTCCCTCGCCCCCTCTCCTGCACCTCCGCCCCCCCCCTGTCCCCTCTCCCTTCTCCTTCTCCTCCTCCTTTCCTCTTCCTCCTCTTCCTTCGCCTCCTCAAGATATTCACTCGGAGTACATACCTCCTCTCTGCGCCGACGACGTGCATGCTTTGACCCGTCAGTCCCAGGTGTGGTTTGACGCGCGCGACTTCAGACACTGTTTACTCGTGTGTGTGTGTGTGTGTGTGTGTGTGTGTGTGTGTGTGTGTGCGTGCGTGCGTGTGTGTGTGTGTGTGTGTGCGTGTGTGCTTTTTCAGGCGGAGCGCCTGGGGCGTTCCGCAGGACGCTCCCGCGTCGGGCCCCCTCTAACATTTACTCGCTCTCAGTACTGCTCCCCTTTTTGTCGCACTCCTCGTCGTCGCCGTCATTCTTGTCCCCCTTCTCGTCCTCCCACCCTCTCTCCCGTCCCTCCCATCCCTGCCTCCTTCTCCCCTCTCTTCCTCCACCTTCTCCCTCCCTCCATCTCTCCCCCCATGCTTCTTTTCTTTCTCCTTCTCCTCCCCCCTCCACCTCCACTCCCCGTTCCTGCTTCCCCTCATTCTCCCGCTCTGGCGTGCAGGGGTGTAACGAAGCCCCCCCCATCACCAGGCAGCTGCCGAACCGAGAGGAGTTCATCAAAAGGCCGCCTCCTCTGCGTGTGCCTTCTTGTGCAATCCAGTTTGCCTGAAGGCAAGGGCGGCGATGAGGAGGGGGAGGAGGAGAACATGGCAGAGACATCTGATTATTGTGATGATGGGAGGAAGGAGGATGAGGAGGAGGAGGAGGAAGAGGAGGAGGACGAGGAGACGGAGACGGAGAAGGAGGAGGAGGAGGAGGAGGAGGAGAAGGAAAAGGAGTAGAAATAGGGGAGCCGGAGGAGGAGACGGAGGAGGAGGATGAGGAGGAGCATACTGGGGTGACGAGTATGACGCTGAGGGCAATGGTGATGCTGATACTGCAGATCTTGATGGCAATTATGGTAATGGTGATGCTGATGGTGATGGTAATGATGCTGATGTTGCTGCTGCTGATCGTGTTTTTTATGCTGATGATGATGCCGATGCTGCTGCTGCTGCTGCTGACGATGATGATGATGATGATGATGATGATGATGATGATGATGATGATGATGATGATGATGATGATGATGATGTTGATGAGGTGGATGTTGACGATGATGGTGATGGTACTGATGCTGCTGACGATTGCGACGGTGGCAATGATGAATCTACATACTGATTATGATGATGTTGATACTGATGATATTATTGATGATGATGGTACTGATGGTGCTGCTGATGATGCTGCTGATGAGGATGACGTATCCGACGGTGATGCTGATCATGTTGACGATGGTGATGCGGAACATAGAGACAGTGGTAGTGGTGGTGGTGGTGGCATCATGATGGCAATGCTGGCAATGATGATGGTGATGATGGTGGCCATGCTTGTGATGGTGATGATGCTGATGCTGATGCTGATGATGATGATGATGCTGATAATGGGAATGGTGCTGATGATGAGGATGCTGATAATTTTGATGCTGCTGCTGATAATTTTGATGATCATGCTGCCGCCGACGACGACGATGGCAACGATGAGTATGACGGTGAAGGTGACGCTGTTTGTTCTGCTGCTGATGATGATGTTGATGATAATGCTGCTCCTGCTGCTGAGGCTGTTGATGATGGTGATGCTGACGATGGTGATTTTGATGATGATGATGATGATGTTGATTGCTGCTGAATGATGACGCTGATGATGACGACGATGATGATGATGATGATGATGATGATGATGATGATGAGGCTGATTATGAAGGTGATGACGCTGCTGCTGATGAAGCTGATGCCGCTGATGCTGATTATGATGATGATGACGGTGCTGATGATGCTGATGATGATGTTGATTTTGATGATGCTGAGGATGATGATGATGATGATGATGATGATGATGATGCTGATGATGATGATGGCGCTGATGATGACGATGTTGATGCTGATGATGCTGATGATGCTGCTGCTGATGATGCTCATGCTGATGATGATCATGATCGTGTGTACTTTTTAATCAGTATTATTCGTGGCACTAGCATCATTATTCTTATTACCCTCAGTATGTATATCATTATTCGTACCATTATTCATACTATTGTTATTATTTTGATTATTATGAATTTCAGTCTTATGATTTTCATGTTTACGATTATTATCCGTAAGGGCTTCGCCCCATGCCGCCAGCCCCCTGTCTCGGATAATGGGAGATGCAAAAGCTAAATCATGAGGTCTGGGCGCCGCCGTGAAGCAGTGTCGGGAACTGTTTGTTTTTCGACCCTGACCCTACGGATCTGCGTGAATGGTGCCACCGAATTTCAGAAATGCGGCAAATCCCTTTGGTTTTTGGACCCTGACCCTACGGATCTGCGTGAGGTGCCGCCGAATGTCAGTAATGTGGCAAATCCCTTGTGTTTTTGGACCCTGACCCCGCCGATATTGTGAGGGGTGCCGCCGAATGTTTGACATGTGGCAAATCCACTTCTGTTTTTGGACACTGCCCCCGCCGATCTGCGTGAGAGGTGCCAGCGAATTTCAGAAATGTAGCAAATCCTTTATGTCTTTGGACCCTGACCCTACGGATCTGCGTGAGGGGTGCCACCGGATGTCAGACATCTGGCAAATCCCATGTGTTTTTGGACCCTGACCCCGCCGATCTGCGTGAGGGGTGCCGCCGAATTTTAGACATGTGGCAAATCCCGTATGTTTTTGGACACTGACCCCGCCGATCTGCGCGAGGGGTGCCGCCGAATTTTAGACATGTGGCAAATCCCGTGTGTTTTTGGACCCTGACCCCGCCGATCTGCGTGAGGGGTGTCAATTTTCATTTACCCCAGCAATTCAGAGCATACGCTCAGGGCGTGGTAAACATGCCCGTTTTGGGCCTCCCCCCTCGCGCGGTCCATCAAGAAGGAACAGTAAGCAGCAAGAAGTCAACAAGGGACAATAAGCAGCAAGAAGCAGGACTGTAACAATGGAAACTGGAAGCTGCAACTGGTACAGGAAACTGCGAACCATCGCCCTACAGCCTGGTGGCCCCACAAGGGGGCTGGCGGATTGCTACTACTATCACTATTACTCATACGATTGCTCTTACGAGTGTTACTACTATAATTCTCATGATGGTGACGATGCTAATGCTGATGCTGATGACGATGATGATGATGAGCTGGAGGATTTGGCGGAGGAACAGCAGGATGATGATGAGCAGGTGGAGGAGGAAGAGGAGGAGGAGCAGGAGGAGGAGGAGGAGCAGGAGGAGGAGGAGGAGGGCGCCGCCCCCAGGCTGGCGGGCGCAGGGGCGGGCGCCGACGACGTGCAGAGGACGCATGGGCGGGCCATCGCCGCCGCTGCGGCCGCCGCCGCCTCCGCCGTCGTCGTCGTAGTCGTCGTCGTCGTCGTCGTCGTCGTCGTCGTTTTCCTCGTTCGTCGTTCGTCGTCGTCGTCGTCGTTCGTCGTTCGTCGTATTCGTCGTCGTCGTCGTCATCGTCGTCGTAGTCATCGATACCGTCGTCATCGTCGTCGTCGTAGTCGTCCACCACCACCTCATCCTTCCTTCGCTCCTGCGTCCTTCCCTCCCTCCCTCCCTCCCTCCCTTCTTCCTCCCTTCCTCCCTCCTCCCCCTCCCTGCTTCCCCTTTTCCTGCCTTCCGTCTTTCTTCACAGTTAATTTGTCTGAATACTATTCTCGCTCCTCCCCTGAAGTTGTCCGGAAGATCTCCAGCCCCACCCGTGCGCTGTTTTTTCCCCAACTGTCCTGTGGTGTTTACTCGTTTGAAGGGGCAGTGCCCCGCGTTCCTCTCCTCCTCCTCCTCCTCCTCCTCCTCCTTCTCCTGCTTCTCCTCCTCCCTCCTCCTTCCCCGCCGCTTCCTCCTCCTCCTCCTCCTCCTCCTCCTCCTCCTCCCTCTCCCTCCTCCTCCCTCCCTCCTCCTCCTCCTCCTCCTCCTCCTCCTCCTCCTCCTCCCCCTTCTCCCTATGGGGCCCCTCGCACGGTTAGTGGCCCCACAAGGAGCTCCACAAAGGCCCAAGTGGCACGGTTCGCATGGCGGCCCCGCCCCATTTCGGCACGCCCCCCCCCCACACATGTCGTGGCCCCGTAGGAGCTCCACCAAAGGCCCCAGCCATAGGGAGCTCCACCAAAAGCCCCAGTGGCAGGGTTCGCACGGCGGCCCCGCCCCATTTCGGCACACTCCTCACATGGTTCGTGGTCCCATAGGAGCTCCAGCGACGGCCAAAGTGGCAGGGTTCGGAGGCGGGCCCGCCTCATGTCGGCACTCCCCTTGCACGTTTCGTCCCCACAGGCAGCTCCAGCGAAGGCCCCAGTGGCAGGGTTCGCATGGCGGCCCCGCTCCATGTCGGCACACCCCTCAAACGATTCGTGGCCCCACAGGAGCTCCACCGACGGCCCAAGTGGCAGGGTTCGCATGGTGGCCCCGCCCCATTTTGGCACACCCTTCGCACGTTTCGCGGTCCCATAGGGAGCCCGGCAGAAGGCCCCAGTGGAAGGGTTCGCATGGTTGCCCCGCCATCCATTTCGGCACACCCCATCGCGCGTTTCGTGGCCCCAGAGGGAGCTCCACCGAAGGCGTAGTGGCCAGGTTCGCAGGGCGCTCCCGCCCCATTTCGGCGCACCCCTCACACGTTCGTGGCCCCAAAGGGAGCTCCACCGAAGGCTGTATTCATAATACGGTACCCACGATGGCACATGTCTGGGTTCTCCGCCAAGACATATTTTTTTCACACGGGGTTCCCAACTTGAGCTGCTTCTGCTTTTTCCCAACCGTCCTTTGGTGCCGGGTCTTCGTTTTGGAGAGACAGTGTATCGCGTTCCTCTCCTCCTCCTCCTCCTCCTTCTCCTCCTCCTCCTCCCCCTCCTCTTTCTTCTCCTCCTCCTCCTTTCTCTCCTCCTCCTCCTCCTCCTCCTCCTCCTCGTCCTCCCTTCCCTCACCATCCTCATCCTCATCCTCATCATCACCACCACCATCATCATCATCAGCATCATCATCATCATCATCTTTATCATCGTCATTACCATCATCATTCCCATCATCACCGTTGGCATCATCATCCTCATGATAATCAACACCCCGACAATCATCATCATCATCATCACCATCCTCATCATCATCATCATTCTCATCATCATCATAATCATCGTCATCATCATCATCACCATCATGATCATCAGCATCATCATTCGCACCATCTTCACCATCATCGTCATCACCAGCATCACGAACAACAGCATAATCAACATCGTCAGCGTCATCATCACCATCATCATCATTGGTCCCATCATGGTCATGACCATCATCGTCAACATCATCACCATCAGCATCACCACCACCACTAGCGTCATCAGGACCCTCGTCAACACCATCATCGTCAGCAGCATCATCATCATCACCATCATCATCACCATCACCACCATCATGATTCTCATCATCATCGTCGTCGTCATCATCACCGCCACCATCATCACCATCATCACCATCACCACCATCACCACCACCATGAGCGTCATTATCATCCTCACCATCATCAGTATCATCATCACCAACATGATCATCATCTTCATCAACACCATCATCCTCATTATCCTCCTCATCTTCATCATCATCAGCATCGCCGTCATCAGACATCTGCGCGATTCTTAGCGGTATTCCCGCATTGGCAGAACTTGTCCATCGCGGGCGAGACTAAGTACCTAGTAGTTGCCCGAGTGCCGAGAACCATACGAAGTTGCGGCAACCACCATGTGCTCCACGGCGGATGCGCCCTCCTGGCCACTTGGAACCTGGTCCCCGTCTTCCCCCTCCTCCTCATCTCTCTCTCCACTTCTCTCGCCCAGGGTTGTGCTCGTTTATTTTGCGTGCGATCGGTTAATTGGCATGTTTTCCCCACGCCGTGTGCAGGTGGGAGGCCAGCCAGCTCACGCCCGGCCGCCCGACCCAGTGAGCCGCCCCCTCCAGGTGCCGTTCCTGGCTCAGGCGGTCGCCGCACTTTGGCGGCCTGGTCGGGCGCATGGCGCCCCGACCCTTCTTACATAAATTGCCATCTTAGTCACTCCACTTGCGTAGCCTTTCTGCACTGTGCTTTCCGGGTTCCTCGTCCCTCGTCCTCCCTTCCCCCTCCCTTCCATTCGTTGCCGTCTCTTCTTGACGTCTGCCGAATGTCAGGTGAGTGCGGCACGGCCCCTCCAGCTGTCGGGCGTTTCTAACGCATTTCAATGTGTCATAGGTGTGCGAGGTGGTGGAATAGTCCATGGCGCTGTGCGCAAACATGCGTTGAACCTGAATCTGGCTCGAGAATTGTGTGATTCTCTCTCTCTCTCTCTCTTTCTCCCCCCCTTTTCGCCTCCATTGCCGACTCATTTTAAGGCTACCCGCAATGCCATGCACGCGGCCGCATTTGAAGTGTCGTTCGCCAACTGCTTCTCCGTCTAACGCTGCGGCGCAGCCCTGCTGTAGTGGTATGCAGTCAGTGAGGTTGGTGTCTTGCCTTTGCTGTTGAACGAATAGAAGAACCTGGTAGTGCACATCGGCCCAGAGGCCACGAATGCCCTCAAGTGGGAGGCCTGCTCGCAGAACTGGTGGGAGAGAATCCTGAAGACCTCCGCCTCTGACGCCACCCCGGACTCTTCCCTCCGTCTGTACGGATTCGCGATTCTCCCCACCTTAGGCTATGCCGCCCAGTCCAATCCGCCGCTGGAGCTGCTCCTGCACAAGGAGCCTTGGTGCATTCATAAGCTGCTCGAGCTGCCGCCCAATTCGCTCACAGGCTACGACATCTGGTCTCTGCGGGGATGGGCACCTGGCTCCACCCCATCCTCCACTGCTGTTGATGGGCACTGCCCCCCTGCGCTGCTCTTGGTGCGTGGAGCTCGAAGAGTGCTCGTGGCGCCACAACAGCCTCATTCGCCACTTTCAGGACCTCTGGTCCCCGCCCTGCTGGCGCGACCAGCAGGCCATCGTATGCACGCCCCCTCGCTCTCCCGAAGGTTGCCGACCCAGACAGGCTGCGCCTTACGCTGCATAATCGGGTGCGTTCCTGGTGTCCAGAGCTCCAGCTCTCTCCACTCGCCCCCGCTGGCAGGTGCTGAAGGGGACCCTGGCGAAATCTCGCCCCGCCATCTTCTGGTCGGTAATGGAGACGCTCGCGGGTGGGTAGATCACCACCCGCAGGATGCACATCCTCGGCCAGCGGGGCTGCGTCTTTGGATGCGAAGGCGGCCCCGATGCGATCGCCCACTGCCTCTCCCGCCCCCGCCTGCTCCGCCTTCTCGCCTGACCCCGCGCCGTCCTCCCTGCTTCGGTGATCGTACGCCTCGGCCTCGGGGAGGAGAACGACTCTCCTGAGGAGAAAGACCTCCAGGGAGCGTGCGCTCTGGCTGTGGGCCCTCGCCTTCAGCGTTTACAGCGAGCTTCGTGTGCGCACTCCTGGAGCGCCCGTTTCGTACCACGAGTAAATCGAAATGCTCTCAGGAGCTGCGCGCTCTCTCGAGGTGTAAAGCAGAACGATGGCGGTCTAAGCTACGTGCAATCATCATCATCGCCGCCGTCATCGTCAGCATCACCATCCTTGCCATCATCACCACCACCATCATCATCATCATCATCATCAGCATCAGCATCGTCATCATCATCATCATACGTATACCCATCACCATATCATCATCATCATCATCATCATCATCACCATCGCCTGCATTGGTTGAGGTTTTGGGTCCCTTTCCCCTTCTCCCTTCGTCATCAGCATCACCGTCATCCCCGCCATCATCGTCAGCATCGTTGTCGTCGTCATTTTCACCGCCACCATCATTGTCATCATCATCACCATTGCTGCAATCACCATCACCGTCGTCATCGTCATCATCATCATCATCAGCATCGTCATCAGCATCATCATCATCATCATCATCATCATCATCATCATCATACGTATACTCATCACCATATCATCATCATCATCACCATCGCCTGCATTGGTTGAGGTTTTGGGTCCCCTTCCCCTTCTCCCTTCGTCATCAGCATCACCGTCATCCCCGCCATCATCGTCAGCATCGTTGCCGTCGTCATTTTCACCACCACCATCATTGTCATCATCATCACCCTTGCTGCAATCACCATCACCGTCGTCATCGTCATCGTCATCATCATCATCATCAGCATCGTCATCATCGTCATCATCATCATCATCATCATACGTATACTCATCACCATATCATCATCATCATCACCATCGCCTGCATTGGTTGAGGTTTTGGGTCCCCTTCCCCTTCTCCCTTCGTCATCAGCATCACCGTCATCCCCGCCATCATCGTCA